CTGAGGAAATGGCTTTGCCTTTGTGACCGTCTAAAAAGGTCTCAGTGACTGCCCAGGGCTAAGATGTGCCACAGTGACATCCTGAGACCTGCTGATTTTGATAATCATTCTCAAACACAGTTCTAGGAAATTACAATTCACTATATTCTTAATAGCTGCTCCGCTGGGTCAGGACAAACTAGGTTAGAGGTTTAAAAACAAGGCCCCTCACATCTCAGCGGTTTTGACGAAAGGTTTGTTTCTTACTAATGACATGCTTCCACTGTGGAGTAAAGAAAGAAGAAGGGGTCGGCTTACCAATCATTCAGGGGCGTAGGCTCCAAGAGCAGACCTAATTTGAGATTGGTGCATCTCAAATTGCACCAATCACCACGCAAGAAGGAAAGTCTCACCACAGCAATTAAATAGTGTAGGAGCAAAAGAAATCAATTATGTTCACAGTCTACTAGTCGCGGCTGTGTGCGTGTGTGCACGTGTGCATGTATGTGTGTGTGTGTATGTATGTGTGTGGTGGGTTATGATTGTAGACATGCCTGGGGGGGGGGATGCAACTGGTCACACACGCGGTTGCAGGAAAGCTAATGTGAACTGAGTGTTTCTGGTGTGCCAGAAACCAGTTCGGCTTTGCATGCTGCTTATTTATGCTTGCAACATCCCCACGGGGCAGGTTCTAAGACCTCCTTCCTTGGCTCAGAAAACCAAGGTGTGGAAAGGGAAAGCAACGCCAAGGTCACATTGGGAACGGTGCTGGATAGGCACAAGGCTCTAGAGTCCTTGACTCTCATTCTAAGTTATACTGCCCTTAATGTTTTCTCTGGCCTAGACAAATGAGAAAAATAAGAATTTCCTCCTGATGGCAAGCTTCAAGGGTCGCCCTTTGCTGTACGATGACCTTTCTTACTATGTTAGCAGTCTTTCCCCCTGTGAATTAACAGCAGCTCCTTTTCTTATTTGGAAAAGGAAAGAACCGCTCATGTTAAGTTCCTCCTCTTTTTTTTTTTTTTAAATGATTAACGGTGTTAATTTTGACTGATTAAAAATTTAAATCTGTGAATACCAGTTTGGGTTGTTTAAGTTCTCGACTTAGATTCAGCCAAATTTTGGTTATTATGTTCTGGACACTGCTCTTATTTTTAACTGTCAAAACCCAGTGTTAATTTAGTGTGTATTGCTTCAATTCCATCTACGGGACACTGGCTTCCCTGTGGGAAGATTAAAGCATGCATTTTCGCTCAGTCGAAGGGATAGGTCTGGAACATGGTAGCCTTTATAAGAGAGCCAATGTAGTGGACACGAGATAGTTTCTGCAAAAGTTACAAGAGAACTAAACAAGCCAGCCGCCAAGTTTTTCTCTGGCTATATTTCACCACCAAATCTCTCTCTGTTGAGATTGTTTGACAAGATGTGGTGTCTCTCCCAGAGCAAGAGAAAGCAGCAGGCCGACATCACCAGCCAGGATCTGGGGCAGTGCCAATGATGTGGCCTGAACATGAGCAGGGCCCACTGGCCATAGGCCCAGGCCTTTGAGCCAAACAGCAGCTTCATTAAAAGGGACAGGCGGTTGAGACATGAGCAAGCTGTTCTGAACTGAACAGAGTATTTATTAGCCCGCCTTGGAAAATGGAGCTGTGCAGACGAGTGCTCAGTGTGAACAGGTGCCAGAGAGCAGACTTGGAACAGCCAGCAAGCCTTGAGGAAAGTGAGGTCTTTTAGTGTCCTGAACCAAGAAAATGCTCGACACTTTTGATGGCAACTTAACTATTTTCTGACAAAAGAAAAACAGAAGGAAAAAAAAAGTAAGGAGAAAAATCTTCAAGGTTTACACTATTTCTTTGTAGCATACATTTAAATTCCGAGTCCATTAGATCTTTGTCAGACTCTTCCTTCTGGTAACATTAGCAGCGGTTTCCCTGGCTGACCAAATAAGTACCAACTCTGGAAGTGATCGAGAGGGCGTATCTTCTCAACACACTGAGGGAGGAAAGGGTCTCCTCTCATTTGTAATCTCTAGGTTCTGGGTGAAAAAGAAGATGACCATTTGAATATCAAGGTAACCTTGAAAGACTCATAAAGCGACTCCGTAAAAAATTTGACTTCTAAAAATCTGAATGCGATGGCTCAAGTCTGTAGTCTTAGCACCCGGGATGGGGGCTCAGGCTAAAAGTCTGAGCCCAACTTGGACTACATAATAAAACATTCCCTGTCTCAGAATAAACAATAAAAAGATGCACACGTGTGTGTGTGTGATGTGTGTATGTGTGTGTGTGTGTAGAAATGATTTATAACTGAGTTTAAGATAGAGATTCAAAGAGCCTGAGTCATAGACTCTTATTTAGCATTTATAAGTCCTGGTCTTTGAAATGACCGTTTGGCTCACTGTGATTTAAGAGGGGAGTCAGAGTGTTGCTAATCACTTTTAAGGACCTCACACACAGCCAGCTTCCCCAAGTGGCTTTCACCCTCCACTGCCTGTAGGCAGGGCTTCAGCAGGTCCGGGCCAAGATTAGGAAAGCAGGGAGATTTCAGACAGCTGAGTTAATACCACCACATATAGAAGGTAGAGAGTGTGTCTGGCCGCTAGTAAAAACCATAAATCACCAAGGGCAGAAGAGCAGGTCTTCCTGGGGCGTGTGGGGGGGTGTAATGACGTCAGAGCTGCTGAGGACCCACGGGCAGTCAGAAAGGTGAAGGTACAGACGAGAGGTAGAGTCTTAATGGCAGACAGCAGCTGAGGGAAACAGTTTCCATATTAACACCTGTGCCAACCAATAAACCGGTCCGGTGGTGGCCAAATGCTCATTTGGTGTAGAAACCAGAATAAGCCAGCTGTGCCAGGAATATACAAAACTACACTGACCAAATGAAGAGAGAGGTGCCAAGCATTTTAATAGCTTGGGTGTGTGTGTGGGGGGGGGGACAACATAAAATCAAGTTCTCAACACCAACGATACTCAGGCCTAGGCTCAGTTCCACAGACCTTGTAGTCAAATGATCACTTTCTTAAGTGTTCCCTACCTAATGTTTTAAATACATACACAAATATAAAAACTGACACACTTCAGTGTTTGAAAGTAAGCTGCCTATGAACATGGGCAAGCTGGCTTACAACAACGGAGACCATCTGAATACATCAGCTCACCGAAAAGACGAGTTACACAAGAAACGAGAAAGCTCGTGCAAGTGGAGGGAGCTCGGTGACCTTTTGGAAAGGAAAATCTTCTAGGACTCGGAAGCAAAAGACAGCGACCCCCCTCTCCAGTGAACGTAGCCAACTGTAGAGGGCACTCCTAAATCTCACTAGGCAAGGAAGACCCAGTAAAGCAGGGACGCACTCCAAGGGGCTTTAGGGGCTCATGGCCAGAGCCTGGCAGGGCAGGGCAGGAGTGGTGGACGTGTCTAACCGAGTAGCGAATTTTAGAACCTTGCCTGGCAACCCTGGGCTCCAACTCATTCCCATATTGCATGCCCTTGAGAGATTTACGCCGATTCACTCGACATTCATTTTCTCAAGTCGAAGGGTAAATAAAAAGAACGCTCTGCATCTCTGCGCTCTCTAAGCCTGACCTGTGTGACTACCAGGATGAGGGAGCTACCGGAAAAGCTCACAAAGCGAGCTTAATCTGGAAGCCGGAATCGTCAGGCTGCATGTTCTGATGACCCGAGTTAGGAGCGCTCTTCCCGTGACCGAGGAGACCCAGCTAGCATGCCATCACTGAAGATGCTTCAAATGTTTCCAGAGTGCTCAGGAAAATGAGTAAGGCAGCCACAAGTGTGGGTGTTAATGAGTCACCCACTATGCTTAAGTTGGCCTTCACGGGACTACGTGTTTCAGATGGTTAGAGGATGTGTGCTGATAAAGTTTCTTGTTGTTTGTTTTGCTAGCCAAGCACATGACTGCTGCTGGAAAGAGAAAGAGTCCCACCCTTGAGGGTGCCTGCACCCGTGGGCACATACATACACACAGGCACACACACAAATAAATAATAAACACTAAAACAACGAAAGTTTAAAGTGCAGTGAGCTGCCTTTCTCCTTTCCATTTAGAAGGATGCCAGCAAGATAACTCTGAGGAATGGACAGAAGTATGGGAACCATGGGAAAACGGCATCAAAGAGAAGGGGAGCAGGGGATGCATAGCGGTGATCCTGCCCAGGGTCTGTTAGGATGTGACCAGAGTGAATGGATCCAATGTCCCCATGAAACACTATAGCTGTGTCTATGCTATAGGTTGACACTAGATCAGCGGTTCTCAACCTGTGGGCCATGACCTCTTTGGAGCAAACCTCTAGCTCCAAAAAAATTTACATTACAGTTCATAACAGTGGCAAAGTTATAGTTATAAAGTAACAACAAAAATAATTTAATGGTTGAGGGTCATCACACCATGAAGAACTATATTAAAGGGCCTTATCATTAGGAAGGTCGAGAACCACTGCACTAGATAATTCTTTAATTGGAGAACTTATTCTGCACGTAAAAATACTGAGTCTTTACTCTCTCTCTCTCTGAAGCTATACATAGAATTTTTCTTTTTATTTAATATTTTAAAAATAAAGGCTTTACTGGTGTTTTTATACACATACATTGTAGTCATACATACATGTATACATGTCTAGGAATATGTCTACGTATTCATGCATGTGTATTCAGGTGTTTGATAATGAGTATCCTGTAATCCACGCTAGCCTCAGACCCTCACCCTCACTATCTCACCAAAGTTCACCTTAAACTTGTGATTTTTCCATTCCCATCGTACAGATAAATCTGTTTTGTTTTTGTTGCTATATTTTTGCATGGAATGAAGGATACTGGGTTTGGGGGGCAAGCCAGAGGAGATGATGGGAAAAAAATAAAACCAGCACAGACGGACAGAATTCCTGTGGCAATGCAGGAACCAGTGCTAATCTAGAGGTCCCAGAACTGAGACGATGTCTTCGAGGCTCTGCACCCTCTCAGAGAGGACCCTAAAGTCAAGCCCCATATGACATCACAACTCTTACCTTCCTTTTGATGTCTGTGAACTGGGAAACCATCAAGGACCAATAAAACGACAGCTCCAGGATATAATAGTAGTGAAGGTCAGCAGTGAGGGGCTGAGGGGAAAAGAAAAAAGAAAAAAACTATTAACAGTTGACAGGAAACCCGCTTTTATCCCTAACGCCACAAGCTAGCTCACTGCTCACTGATAACACAGTCTTATGTTGAACATGCGCAATTCCCAACCTTTTCTTGGTAGACAACGGCATCTCGGGGCTGCCTATAGACTACCGCTCGATACCCTTAGTTTTATTTCATCTCAAACCCAGAAAGCATTAGCTTGTATGGCAGTTCGCGATCCTATTCTCTGAGTGTAATATGAGCAGCTGTGGGTCTTTCACATAGAGCAGCTTTGAGATTTCTCAGGCAACGCGGCACATGCCCTGATACTTGTTGATACTTGTGTTTGTGTATCAAACACACACACAGTAGCCGCTGTGAGTGTTCAAAGCACAGAACAAGGAATGCAGGTGGAAGGGATGTGTTCCATAACGGTCAGTGAAACAGAGGTTCAAAGTCTCTATTAATCAGAAAGTCGTGTTTTTAGGAAATGTTCAATATATTGCAATATTCAAAACAAAGAATTCAAAAATATTTATTTAAAGATCAGAGGGACAGAAGGGAACAAACGGACACTCGAGTAGGCAGACACTTCCTAGTCTGAGACGAAGGTCCAGTTCTATAACTAGGTAGTAAAGTTACTTATACAATAGTGGGGGAGGGGACAGGAGATAATGCCTGTTCTGACTGCCTCAGAGGCTCAGAGAGACAGTAGAGTTGGCAAAGCGTGTTTTTTTTTCACAGACACACATACATGTACACACACCGCATGCACACACACTACATAAAAATCAAAGTTTTTTTTTAACAACATGTTGATGAGTTATTTTTAGCTTTTTAAATTTTGTTTTTTAATTGAGCTGGAATGAACTGTCTTGGCTTATTGGAAAGATTAAAAAATAATCTCTGAATTTCTTCAAACATATTCACACCACTGTTCAGAAGGCAACAGTCTGTAGTAAAAAGGAAATTACTGTCGTATGCACCATATGCCAATCATGGCATAGTGGATAGCTATCACAAGACGGCTCTTACTCAGTATGGGCACCAAGGAAAACTATGTTTCTCTCTTATATTTCTGACAAGGAACTTTATAGGATAAGATATTAGTTTGGCAGTTCTGAACTTGAAGTGACAAAGAAAATTACTACAGACTGAATGCTAGGATCTCTACAAACCAATGTGTTGAAGCCTGATTTCAATGTAATGGAATGTGCAAGATGGGCTGTTGGGCAGTAATCAGGGCATGAGAGGGGGAGCTCTCATGAACGGAGCACAGTTTCTTCCCATGGAATGAAAGAAGCATCCGTGCTCAGGGGTACCTTGAAAGAAATCTATTTCCCACTGACATGCCTTTCAGATTCTGTCAGCAGTGCAGTCTGGGAAAACAGGGCCCTGGCTGGAGCTTCTGAGCCAAGGTCAGATTCTGGTGTTGATGATTCCCTGCTTCCTGGCATCATCACCTGGGAGAGTGCCTCAGAAGGTCACAGGACACGCGAGGTCACATCTAGAAGAGCCGAGCTCACGTGCGAGCACCACAGTAATCCGCACTCGCCCGCCGCTCTACAGTTGGTGAAACACACCCACGTGACTCACTCTGAGCATCCTGAAGTCTGCAAAATTACCACTCTCGTTCCTCGTGTAGATTACAGAGCTGGCGGGAAATTGCTATCAATTAATTCAGGTTTAAAGGACACAGTCAGGTCTCGTGGCTAGGGAGGCCCCTGACCACTACACTGCGGCCTCTCCTGCCCAGTGTGTGTTCCTTGTAATGAGCTGTACAAGGGCCAACTGCATATAAACCTCATCCTACTTTAATCTTTAGAACACATACCCATATAAAACTATTACCTGTGGAACAAATCGGCACACTCACATAAAAGAGGATATGTGTTTAAAATTGAAGCAGAACTATTACTTTTCACTGAAAAATCTATCCGGTTACTCATGTGTTAAAGACAATAAATATTTCATGAACATGTTCAATCTTTAAAAGTGCACTGAAGGCTTGAGACAGACTCTGAACCGAAATCTGCTCTCTGTATTTATATACACATGACTGTATGCAAAGCATTATACTTGCATACACGCTATTTAATTTCCTACACCCCCTACCCGAAGAAAGTCAGAAACTTTTATTAGCATGTAGCACTTGTTGAGGATAACCACTGTGGCCATGAGAGACCATGAACAAGTCTAAGATCTGGGGACCCTGAACTGTATTACTCAGTATTAATCTTACCAGTAGAAGACAATTCTTGATCCAAATCCCCACAGACGGGGTATCTTCCTTTCCAGGCTGAGGATATTTTCCACTTTTAAATTTAATCTTATCTTCTAGCCCCTCAGACTTTCATGCTAAATCTATGGCGCTGGGTATGAAACAGTCTATGGCTACATTCTGGGCCACAGTCCGACACACTCAGCTCAAACCACACACCCTCCCCGCTGCATTTAGAATCTGAAAGTTATTCTGGGCGACATTACAGTTAAAGACAAGGTTAAGTGTTACATTGCGCATGACATTTGTCTCAAGGCCCTTCAGTGTTGTGGAATTTACCTCTTAAATGTGGGGCGTTGTAGCAGCTGCCGTGCCAACATTCCAAATAGATTTCCAGAAGCCTTTAATACCCTTGTCTAAGTGGGAAGGGAGATGCGGAGATGCACGCAGGCAGGGGAGCACGGCTGGGCCTGAAGCAACTGCATCAGGTAATGGACTGGCTTCTACCTTGTGTCAGCCCCTAGTTATCACAGGAATTCTCAGCTTCCTCTAACTATGTCCTGCTGCTCATGGAAATTCTTCTCTAATCTAAATAAATGAAGGGATTCAAATGCAAACTGGAATTCCATTTCAATGTGCCCGTAGCCTTGAAGGAGTATCCAGTGTCAGCTTCTACCACTGGCAGCTCTCAGGACAGCACAGAAAATGTGGACTATGTGCTCCCCATTAACCCTATACACACAGGAAGTCTAAACACCTCTAAAATGCAAACCCCAAGTCAAAAAAAAAAAAAAAAGAAGGAGCGTATTACAATACCCAGTTTCATTTCCTTCCCTTTTGGGGCATATCTTGACAAACTAGAAAATTCCCAGTTCTACCTTTGATCTTTTTTATTTTAATGCAATCAAAATTAATTGTTCTGGGGTGACAAGGACTTGTGCTAATCCTACTGAATTCATGAGGGGATGCGAGAGCGCACCAGTGGGCAGAGGGAACTCTCCCCTTTCAGGGCTATTTCATTTCAGCTATCGAAGATGGTGTCTCCTCCTCAGTTACAGAAACAATTCAGCCAGGTGTAATGGCATCAGTGCAGTTTTCTGCATTGGGAGAAATGGTGCTCGATTTACATATTTAGAGGCCACTTCTAAGCTCCAAAGTCAGCAGAACTCAGCAGGCCAGCTCTAGGGCCACACTTGAACATTCACACTTGCTGTGGAACCCGCACCGCCAGCAGGCCTTAGACTTTCCTCTGTACTGAGAACCAGGAACCTGTCACCCACGGAAGTGACAAATCCTGTTCTCCAGCAAAAGAATCTTACGTGTTTATTCTACCTGATAAAGCAACCAGACTTTGATCCAGCACTTCATTAAGAACCCACAAAGCCTTGTCTTCACGAGGTTATGGTTGACATTAATGAGCAGGTGCAATACAAAAACCTAAGTGGCCACTCAACCAGCTGCATTCTGCATGACACCAGAAAGATGAAATTCCCTACATCTGTAAACCCCAGAAGTCAGACCTCCTTACCTGGTAGGGGTAGTTATACCAGCAGTGTCTTGTATTCCACAGCCAAGGGGTCTGGAAGAAAAAAAAAAAACAAAGAAATAGACTTTACATGCTTTAGAACTGTTGAAACATCAGGGGTCCCATCCCAGTGCTCTCCGGAATGGAGTTCTCTCACACCCGGAGACCGTATATTCTGTTGGTCGCTCTGTTGTATTCCTGCAATGTACCAACCTCAACAGCTATGCTTCCAGGGCTGGATGCAAAACATCACGTATGGGAAAATATGACTAACAGTTGGTACAATCTACCCTGGAACTCCCGGGCCTTATTCATCTTTGACCTGGGTTCCCTGATACGCTTCACTTCAGCAGGATGGTTCAGAGGAATCCCCATGGTACCTTCTACCTCCCATCTTCTGGTCCAAGTTTCTAGGGCAAATCATTCTTCTTTGATGGCAACTATTTGCCTTATAAAAACATATAACTTAAAAAAAATCTAAGTAATCACACAAATTCCAAAACCTACAATGACCAGAGAAGAACTCATGTGAATTGAGACAGAGCTGAACCATCCAAAAACATCAGGACCACATTTTTCTATTAACGTTATCTGTTTGACATTCCTCATCCGCTGTTAGCCGTCAACTCTGTAGAACCCATCCCTAAGCCCTGATACACTTTTATTGTTCTGGTGATTCTTCTCCCCATTGTCACTCCTGGCCCACATGATGAAAACGATTACTCTCTGGCAGCTAATATTTGTCAGGCCTGTCTATGTCTAACACATTGCGGTGGTACTTATGCATAAAACTCATTGAATCCTTACAACGCTATTAATATTAGTTTTGTTTTTTTCAATAGGTAAATGCAGGCCCTTTGCCTGGAAGATCTTCCTAGGTCACATGGTCCAGCAGTGCCTAAACTGCAATCAAACAGAGACTATGTGGTCCCCTGCTAACATGTAGTCACTATGTCCCGTCTGAGTCTGACAAAATTGAACTGCAAAAAAGGCCCCCCCCAGGGAGCACATTTTAAAATGTCTGCGAGTCTCCATATTTTCTTTTCATTTAAGCACCATCCACCTTCTTTCTTGTGAGAGTTTTGCTGTTTAGGGTTCTCATTTGCTATTGGCTCAACACTACCCACTATCCACTCTGTGTGGATAGTAACTTTCATTTCCTGGGGGTCTGGTCTGTCTATTTCCTCCATGTCTCTTATCTAGACCATTGATGTTTGCTATTATGGGGTGCGTGGTGGTTTGAATGAGAAGGGCTCCTAAAAGCACAGAAATTTGAATGCTTGATTCCTCGTTGGTGACACCGTTTTGGGAAGGATAAGGAGGTGAGTGTGGCTTGGCTGGAGGTATGTGGCTGGAGATTGGGGGTCTCAGCAGCTCACGCCTGACCCAGTCTCTCTCAACGCCCTGCCCCCACCTCCCTGCCTCCAGCCTATAGACCTTGATGTAAACTCAGCTACTGTTCCACCCTGCTCTCCTCCACGATGGCCAGGGACTCACCCTGAAACTGTAAACAAGCCTCCAACTAAACACTTTCCCTTATAGTTTGCCTTGGTGTCTCATCACAGCCATGGAAAACTAAGACAGGGCAGAAATGAAGATCGAATGAGACCGCGTGTATAAAAATACCACGGCAGCTTCAAAAGCTTGGCAAGTTATTCTATTTTCATATCATACAGACAATGTATGCTCATTGAAGAAGATCTGGAGAGCCCAGAAAAGCATGACAATGAAAGCAGCTTCGGTTCTTGCTAGCATGAACATTTTAAATGACAGCACATTTCTCGTCTTCTTTCCCTATGTGATGCAGATATAAATACAGATTTAGTTTTAAATATACACATATAAGCACGTTTTACAAGTGTGGGCATAGAAAAAATCTATTTTAAAGCTCAGTACAATGTTATTCACTACTTTCATCTCTAATAAAGTATCTTCATAATTAATGGAAAAATCCCCAAGGGAAAAGGATGTGGTATGTACGTGTGGACCCCAGATCCCAGCATTCATGCTCAAGTAGACAGGTCAGCATGTTCTGAATGTGAGGCCTATAGCAAGCCTGGCAAAGCTTTCTGGATATACCAGTCTCAAGCCCCCAGGGCACAGGGTATCAGCCCCTCAAGATTTCGCAGGGATCTCTTCTACTGTGGCCATCATTTCCTGTCCCTTTCCTGTCACAGGCAGGACGGCAGACACAAAAAACGTCCTGACCCAGGGCTTTTCTTCCTCTCCTACTTTCTTTGCGCATCTGTTTTATTCTAAAAATTGAAGCTTCTCCTGGATACATCGGACATTTAGCATCTAGACCCACATCTCTTGTGGTCCTGCCAACTGACTGTCCCGTGCAGAGGACACATGTCTGTCTCACAATAATCTTCACCTAGACACTGCAGACAGGACAGAGCCACCGGGGCCCCAGCTCAGCTGGCCAGTTGTTGACCCAATATTGTAACCGTAATGTTCCTCCACGGAAAACACAACACAAGCTATTAACATCACACTTCTACACGCACAGTGCTCTTTTCTAGACCACATTATGCCCCCAAACACTGTGGCACAGGCAGATCAAATGTCTTTCCCAATTCACAGATAGAAAACAAAGTAGAACTCTGCAGCAAAAGGTGATTCTCTTGGGCTTAGCACCTTATACCTTTAAATTTAAACCAGAAGTGCTCCAAAATCCAAAACCCTAAAACTTCAACAACTTTAAAAACATGACAACATTCAAAAACAGCAGAAATCTGGGCTGATTCTGGACTATACTTTCACAGAATGGGTATTTGGCCTATGGCTAGATATTGCTATATGAATCTGCAATTGTAATAAGATTATCTTATATTTGCATATGTGACTTTTAAAAAAGATTTATTATTTTATGTGTATATGTGTTGTGCCATCATATATATCTGTGTACCACATATATGTAGTGCCCCTGGAGGCCATAAGAGGGTGTTGGATCCCCTGAACTGGAGTCGCAGACTGCTGTTCACTGCCAAATGGGTGGTAAGGAACCGGATGGGGTCCTCTGCAAGAGCAGCAAGGGGGTCTTAACGACTGAGCCGTCTCTCCAGCTCCCACATGTAACCGTTTTAATTAAATTTATCCCATGAAACTTTTATAAATTCCTGTAATCAATTTCAGGATTTTAAAAGTTGACAAACTTTGAATGGCGCTCCCAGGAGCCATGGGTTATTAAACAACAATCTGGTCCCAGGCTTGCGATACTTTCTTATGAATTGTTCAGAGTCCAGCCTCTTACCGTGGCTCTTGGTTGCCCGTCAGAACCCGATGGTAAGCCCCTGTTGCTGAAGACACCACTCATCTTGGTTGCAAGAACCAGAGAAACCCAGTCGGGACTAAGCTGAAAGCTTTCTCCCTACTGGGTAGCATTTTCCATGTTCAAAGGTGCTTTGCAGGCTTCTTAGGAGAAAGGGCATCAGTGTGTTTACCTAGCAGTGAACCTTACGGTCTACAAGAACCACCTACCAGATAAGATATGCCCACTGCTGCCAAGTGGCTCAGCTGTTGTGGTGGCCACTGGCAGCTCTCTGGTTGGATTTGAGGCCTGTTCCACAGGAAGGCATTGATGTCTGGTACCGTAAACCTAGTCAAAAACTCCCTGAACTCCAGCAATGACTAGAATAGCAATATATCCTGAAAAGTGTAATTGTGGCTCATAAATCCTGGAGAGCCATCATATTTGATGTTAAGGTCCACTCAACAGGAGAGAACTCATGCCTTGTACTGTATACCTGGTTTACTACCTATGTCTGATGAGGCCAGGGACCCTAGAAAACCTAATACTGTCACTTCCTTAGATGAGTACAATTTCTAAATGTATTCTTACAGTAACAGATAAGTGTGGCTCTTATCCCTCATCAAAGAAGCTTGAGTTTGCTTTGGACAGAGCCCATTACAGAAATCCACAACTAGTCAAAATGCAGAAATCAATTAATCATGGGGTGATGAATTATATATCAGCCCCAAATTATATATCTACAAGACAATCCCTACACCTAAGTTCAGGGAACATCACAGAAGAGGGCATAGGAAGGTTGTAGGAGGTAGAAGACCAGGACATCTGAAAGATGGTGTCTTTCTATTTGACAAGGACGCTGCACCCAGGAAATCTCAACAGCATGGCTGCCTAGATAAGACCTGTACAATCAGAACACCAGTCTACATCCCAGCACGGATGGGGGAAATTTCTAAAGGCCCCATACCTAGATCAAGAGCTACAAGCCACGAATGGCCTTTGAGGAAGGGAGAATCAGTCTTCTCCAGGCACAAGTGCCAATCCTAAGTGAGCAAATCTAAACACATATACAAAGGAACTACACTAAGGAGACACATCAGCTGTGTTTATAAACAAACAAAAAGTATACATTTGCATGGAACAATAAAAAAGAATAAAGAGCCATGCGAATGGGAAGCATGGGATAAGTTAGAGGAAGGGAAAGGGTGGGGGAAATGAATAAATGAAGTACAACACTCATATAAGAAATAAACAAAGACATTTTTAAGAAGGTATGAAGTTAGAAATAAGACTGGGTGGGAGACATTGGGGGAGCAAGGGGGGGGTGTGATGGATGGATATGATCACAGTACACTATATTAATGTATATATACATTTCCAAAGAATAAATAAAGGTATTGCTTTTAAAAGATATGGAAACTTAGGGAGTCCAGTAACTCTCCATTTTTATTGTTTGGGTAGCTCAGGAGCGGCAGCCTCTTCCTGCTCCACACCTGTGCATGGAAGCAATGCTATGAAGCACTGTGCAGACTTAAGGTAAATTCATGCACATTATCTCATCTAATCCGCACACAACTTGTCAGTGATCAAAATAACGCAGCTAGCAGGTGCCTGCCTTAAGAGATCTACAAAGAGCGTGGCGGTTCAGAGCTCACCACATTGCTGAAAGACAGCCTGATTCAGTACATCTGGCTGAGGGGGTGAAACTCTGCATTTCTTGCATCCCAAGTGATGCTGGAATTGTTAGATCATGACCCATACTTAGAAGTAAGGTGGCACAGGATGCTAAAAAGGCAGATTC